TCTTACTTAACAGTTTCTGAAAAAGTCAAATCAATTTTATCCAAGCAGGAAAAGCACACAAGCAAAGCAGGCCCCTGACTGGAAGAACAGAGGATGCAAACGGAAAGAAAGTAAAAAAGACATTTCCTTTTACTCACCCCGGGCCCCTCTTTTGGAAGTGCCAGGAGCAGCTACAAAAATAAAGATGACTTGTAGGACCAAGGGAAGCTTGAGAGCCAAGGGCAAAGGTCCTGAAATCTGGAGGCCCAGGCCAAGGGCATGGACTTTACCTCTGTGAAGGAGTGATCTGGCAGCATCCCCAACAAGTAAAGAGCGAACTTGATAGAGAGCTGAATAAAGGGGGTACAATTCTACAAGGCTAACCTCTGTGTGTGGACTTGAGGCCTGTGTCCCCAGTGATCTGCAAAAAACGAGTTTACATAACAGGCCTTTGTATTGTCCCAGATAAGAGTGAGTAGAGAAGCAGTTTTAAGGCCTTAGTAAAGGCTAAGATTTCCTGGGGGACAGTGGGGTGGGGAGGAGCAATGGGCGGGGGAAGGGCAGGTTAATAAATCAGCCGTCTACTAAGAAACACGTTAGACCTATAAAAATAAAACTACAAAATATTACCAAGGAACATAAAACCAGATCTGTATAATTGGAAAAGCATTCCATGTTCTAAAGTAGGAATATCTGATATCCGAAAAATCCCTCATCTAGGAAGGAAAATAGTAACCACAGCAATGGTAAAGTAAGACCTTATGTCCTTACATTTTTAATTTCTTGGTTTTACTCACAACAGCACATTTCAGGATAGACAAGAAATGGGCGACACTGGTTGTCTCTTCTCAGAGGGCACTCAGTGGCTTGGGGGACAAAGGTAGAAGGGAGATTTGTTACTGTACACCCTTTCAAGTCTTTGAAACTTTGAATTTCTGAACCACGTGGATGGATTAGCTATTGAAAATTTTAAAAAAGGGAATTTTAAACTATCTTAAGCGCTCCATAGTTTCCCAACCACCCTAAGAAGTAGGCAGAACAAAGATCATTAGCCTCATTGCACAAATGAGGAAGCCCGGGGCCCCCAGAAGGGAAAATGAATGCCACAGCGGTGGCAGGGATGGATGCAAGACCCAGACCTCGAGACTCCTAATCAGGGTTCTCTTTCAGTTACCCACAATGCAAAGACTAGCAGCACCCAGATTTGCTCCCCAGGTTCCTTCTGTGTGGCTGCAGCTACATGAACCCAAAGGCGCAGGGCATAGGGACCCATCAGCCACCACACGCAGGGCCTCGCTGGCCAGCGGAGCAGGCTCTGTGAGCTGTTAGGGCCTGGTCAGGTGTTCTGTTCACTGACAGATGCCCAGAAACTCTCGGGGGGTTTATCTGTTTTCATGAAAATCTATCAAATGCCCAAGTCCATGTTCTTCTCTCAAGGCAGAGTGGCTGCAGTGGCATTTTTACTGGATTCATTAACTTGCACAAGTTCAGGGTCATCATCATGAACTCTGAGGGACTCAGAAGGGCAGCCAAGTATAAAAACAAGCACTCGGCTTAAGAGCCAACCAGACCTGGGGTTCAAATTCTGGTTCTGCCACTGACTTGTGTGTGGTCTTGGGCAAGCTGGTCACTTCACTTATGTTGGCCTCAGTATCTACTCTGTAAACAAAAACCAATTAATAGACACAGTGAATCCCATATGGACACTGCTACAGGTGAGGGAGTGACAGCTATACAAGGCGGTTTGAATGGCGGCACCTCCAAGGAGGGGGAGACCAACACGCGAGGTAACGCTATGATCTTACCCCAAACTTATCCCTCAATGCGGAAGAGGGCCTACATGGAGAGGTGATATTCACAATGGGAGCTGAATGATGAAGTTGTGGTTACGCAGAGATCTAAAGGCAGACACAAAAGTCCTGAGGCAGGAATGAACCCAACATGTTTGAAGGACAGAAGGATTAAGGAGTCTGGAGAACAGAAGGTGAGGGGTAAAGGCAGGAAGATGAAGCTGACCAGGATGACGGGGTTCCAACTCTTCAGGTCAGGAGTTTGGACGCTATTCTGCTTGCAAGGGGGAATGATTACTAAAGTAAAGGGGTTAATTAGATCTGTGATTTTTCAGTCTTTTTGCTTTTTAGCTGCTGAACTCTTTAGTCAAATAAAAGCAAGTGGAACCCCAATATAAAACTAGAGAAAAGTACTACTGCTCTGGATGGGTGAGAAGCTAGTTAAGGCCTGGCTGAACCTATGCCCTCTTGGCCTTCCCCCTTCCCCCTGCAGACTCCAAGTGCTGGGGCTTAGAGGAGCTGGAAAGCACTAGCCAACTAGCCTAAGCTTCCTCCGGCTCTAAGCACAGCCCGGGTCACAGGGAAAGCAGGTTTAGGTGTTCAGGCCAGATGCTTGCTGGACCCGGCACAGGTGTTAGGAAGGACGGCAGGTAAATCCCTGACGCGGACATGCTTTCCACAGGCGCGAGGGCCATCAAAGCGGCTCACCAACGGTCCGGGTCAAAGTCACACCATTGAAACCAGACGTCCACAAAACAGCGGCTGAGGAACCCGGGCGAAGGGAAGACATCTGGTGGAGGGAGCACTCTATAGCTTCACTGGGTGGCGGTTACAGGACGGTGCACGCTTGTCAAAATTCACGTAACAGTATACCTCGTATGGGTGATGTTTACTCAATAATCTCAATAAACCGACCTTTTTTTTTTGTCACCGGGCTGGAAGACACCTCAGAGGAATTTTTTTTGGTGAGACTCGGAGAGGAAAAATGAAATGACCTGTTCCTATTGAGTCAGTAAAGCCCAGAAACGCTGGCTTGAGTTTCCCCACCCACTGCTGCTCAGTTTTATTCCAACCTCCTCAGAGCCTGGGTTTCAGGTTTCTCTGACTGCAGGATGCCGAGGTAAATCATTGCCAAAGGCTTTCCCACTGCAAACAATCCAATTCTAAGAAGCAGTCTGGTGACAGACCTGGCTGATCAGAAAGCTTTGGAGTGAGGAAAACTGGAAGAAAAACTCCCACCTTGGTCAATCCCGCTGTGTGCTCTGGGGCCAGCCTGCCCTGTGTGAGATGGGGTGAAGAACAAGAACACATCTGTAAAACAGCTGGCACACAACAGACTCTCAAGAAGGCGGCTGGCCGTTAGAACTCTTCAGGGCTTGGACCACACCCACCCTGTCCTGCAGCTGCCAGTCCCACCGCTGCCTCCTAAGAACAATCTGGAGGTAACCATAAGGAAAAGAAATCACCACCGGCCTGCCCTGCATTGCATAACCCGTGCCCGGGTACACAGTACACCCTGGGATCTGCAGCACAGGTTGTTATCTCGCCAGGTAAACAGGAACACCCTACCCCCTCCTTGACCACCGACAGCGCCAGGCCACCACAAGCACTAGGGAGCTAAGCAGGAGCAGGCCCCCCGCTGGCAAACATCACTGCTGGTGAGCCCTATATTTTAACATCCACTTTCCTTGTGGCTGCTGGCAGCACCTCAGGGCACTAACTCAGCCTTGGACACACTCCACCCATCCCGCAGCCCTTCCTCTCGCCACCTGCTCCAAGGGGCTGGTCCTGAGTGACTCAAAGCTGCCTGCCACACCTTGCTCCTGCTATCCCAAGGAGACCAAAAACACATTGAAACCCAAAGTCTCTATCCCAAGGAGACCAAAAAACACATTGAAACCCAAAGTCTCTATCCCAAGGAGACCAAAAAACACATTGAAACCCAAAGTCTATTAAAAACAAACAAAAAAAAAAAACCCCACCAAGTCTTCAGGCAGGGAGTTTCCACTTCCCCTGTCACATCTACTCTAGAGGTACTGTGCTGGCAGAAAGACTGGGCTTCTCCGTGGTGGGGCAGGAGGGAGGCAACACCCTGAAATTATCCTAATATTGCAGAAACAAAAGAGCTAAATCTCCCCACCAAAGGCAAGGAGGGGCAGGCCTACAGCCAGCCCAGGGAGGCGAGAGCCCTGGAGCATCAGGACTCAAGCCACTCCTGTTGCCTGGACTCAACTTCTGGAAAACAAGGAGATAACAGGAGATAAGCTTGCCCGGTGCTGCCCCGCCAGCGGGTGCCCTGAAGATCGTGTGAACGCAGTAGCCGGAAAGAAAGGCAAGGATTTCTATACAGCCCAGTGAAGTAAAGTTACTGAGCAAGAACAACGCTCGGTCCTGGCCACGGTCTCCTACCCGACTCGGGAGGGCTGACACCCAGGTTATGAAACTCCGATTCATTAATCACAAATAGTATTTATCAAACCATCGCCGGGACACTGTGGCAACTACATCCTGCTGTTTCCCTTCGGAGCCTTTGCCAAAGCCTGGTCTTCTCCCCCACCTTCCGGTATCTGCGAAGTTTTCAGTTTCTATCAAACTCCAGCTGGGGGAAGGGACCCGGGGCCGGTCCTGGTGGAGTAAAGTTCCACCAGCAGGTCCACAAAGAGACTGCGGGGAGGCGTGGCCAGGCCGGAAATTCTGACAAAAAGTTCTGGCCCTCCGGACCTAGAAGCGGCTACTTCCTGATCCCGACCAGTCGTGGGGGGCGAAGGTTTTCGCGCTGGGCCCCCCACTCGTGGGCCGGGCCCGGCGCTCGGACGGCGCCGGGGAGAGCCAGGCTGGGCGGGCGGGCGCCCTTCCTTCCCCCACCCGGGCGCCCCGCCGTCTTCCACGGGCTAAGTTCTTTTGGAGCAAAGTCCCCCAGAATGTGAGGACAGAGCCTCCTCCTACGCACTCCCCCCTCAAGCACACCCCGCCCCCCAAGACCCGCGCTTTGCGAGCCTGAACCGGGTCTACGCCCCGAGGTCCAGGCCTGCTCCGACAGAGGAAGCAAGAGATTTGCCAGAAACCTCGGGGCGCTCGCTGCGGCCTGGGACTCGACGAGCCCCCGCCGCCCCCGAGGGAGAACCTTCCAGAGCCCCGAGCCGACCCCGGGCCCCGCCGGAGCCCCGGCTGCAGAGCAGGGGGCGGGGGCCAGGCCACGCCGGCGCCGCGACCCCCGGCCGGGCCTCCCACCTTGACCCGCTTGCCCTGGATCTCCAGCGTCTTCATGGTGAAGTCGACGCCGATGGTGCTGCCCTGGCGCTCCGAGAAGACGCCCGTCTTGAAGCGCTGCACCACGCACGTCTTGCCCACGCTCGCGTCGCCCACCAGCACCAGCTTGAACAGGAAGTCGTACTGCTCGTCCGGGTCCCCCGGGCCCGGGCCCGGCCCCGCCATGGCCGCGCGGAGCCGACGGGCCGGCGCTCGGACGCCTGGGCGGCCTGGGCTCGCGGAAGCCGCGCGCGGCTGGCGACGTGGAGCGGCCGCAACACCTGGAGCCGCCGCGCCGCCGCCCGCCGGCCCCGGCCCGCCCCGGCCCCGCCCCGGCCGGCCCTCCGGCCCGCCCCCGGCCGGCCCCGAGACCCGCGGGCCTCGGCTCCGCCCCCGACTCTCCGGGCCCGGCCCTCGGCGCCGCTCGCCGCCGGCCCTCAGCCCCGGGCCCGGCGGATCCGGCCCTCAGGCCCGCCCCGGCCCCGCCCCCGGGCAGGCCCCGCCCCCAGCACGCCGGGACCTGAGGCCGCCTCAGCGCCGCTCCCGGCCGCGCCCCCAGGCACGCCCCGCCCGGCACGCCCCCAGCAGGCCCCGCCCCCAGGGCCGCTCTCGACTCCACCCCCCGCCCAACGGCGCCTCCGCGAAGCCCGCGGTGCCGCCACAACGCTCGCCCGCGGCGCCGCCCCTGAGCCCGCCCCGGCACGCGCCACGTCCCCACCGTCCGTTAGCCGCCCCCGCCGCCCCCCGACCACCGCCCACCCGACACCCTTTGGTCAGTTTAAGCCTCTTCCCACCGTGACCCCATCTGCGGGGAGGCCAAGCCAGCAGGAGGAACTGGGGTTCCCCGAACCCAAAAGGCAGCCTATGGTGGTAGAAGGAGCCACGTGTCTCTGAACGGGCTCACTCTCTGGGGCTGAGGGTCCAGTGGGGACACTGACCCAACTGAGAAGCCCCAAGGTTGGGCCTGAGGAGGCACAGGGAGGCTCATGGGGAGTTCTGGGGAAGGGGAGGCCGACGCCCGCGGGCGCAGTGGAGCAGGGGTCCTCAGAGAAATGAGAATTCTCAAATGTCTGAGAAGCCTAAAGAGATTAAATCGGGCCCATCTCCCAGGGGGCTTTCCAGCTGCTAAGATGGAAGGGCCTGAGAACACTCTTGCTCTCTTCAGACACCAGCCTTGCTAGGGGGCTACAGCATCCCATTCCTTGTTCCAGTGAACTTGATTAACAGCTACTATGGGTCAGATGCTATTTTTCAAGATTTTATTTATGCATAAAAGAACTGGGGTACAGGCCAGAGGTGTGGGGGGTGAGAGGATTCACCAGAGACAAAGTGGGGAATAGAACAGGCAGATTGACTGAAATACACTGCTGAGGGGAGAAGCAGGCGAGTCAGGAGAGGTCTGCTGCGCCATGTGGGTAGCTCCCTGGCTGGGGATTGAACTCATGCTGTGCTGCAGTGGCGGCAGACAGCTTCACAGTGCTGCAACTTAACCCCATGTGCCACCAGGGAGGGCCCCTCAGGTGCTATTAGGACTACATCAATGAAGAAGACAGACAAAAATCCACAACTTCCACAGTAGAAAAGGGAAGAAGGCTTTCCTGTAACTTAAGGAGACCACAGAGAGCAAGTTCCACCAGGCCCAGTACCCCCGAAGACCCCTGATCAGCTTTACTGGTCAAGTGGGAAGTAGATGGACGAGGAGGCAAAGGCAGACCCAGGGAGAAAGTACAAGAATTGTATATTCTCTAACAGTTTAAACCCCACTCCCTGGGAAATAACCACACTACCAGACAGGAAACCCCAGAGTGCCATGGCAAGGCAATTCTGGGAGCCCAGCTCTGCTACATCAGATGGCAGAAAATAGCCTCCATTTCAGGTAGGACTGAAGGAGATGGGATCAAAGGCTCCCAACTGCTGAGGCTGACTCTGGGAAGGTGGGACATGTGCAAGCCTGAACCCCAGAAAAACGTGTCTGCCTGAAGCTCAAGGCTGTTCTCGGTGGAGAGGGGGAAGGAAAAGCGAGACCAGGAGCCAGGATGAGCCCTTGGTCCTCAGCAACTTGAGGCAGGGGGAAGGATGTTGGTGGTTGCACAGCAGGACAGACCAGTGATTGGACAGCTGAACAGGCCTGAATTGGCCTTGCCGGGAATATGTTTGGGGTGGGGGTGCAAGTACATGGACTTTGCCATAAAGTCCAGCCACCATTGCATTTGTGGGATATGGAAGGAAACATGCTAAAATTGGACTGTAATGAGGGTTGTGCAACTTGGGAAATTTATTAAAGTCCTTAAATTGTACACTTACAATGGGCAGATTTTATGGCATGCAAATTATATACCTCGAAGCTGTTTTTAAAAGTCATCTGCATTTCTTCTCTTTTGGTGGTAAGTTCCCAAATAGTACAGTGGCATTTTATCTGAAATTAAATATATGCTTGTTTGAAGTGGAGCAATTAAAAAATCTTTGTCTTACTTAATACCCCAAATTTTAAAATAAAGCACATCCCAAATGTTTTTAAATGTGTCAAGAATCTAACACTTAAGCTAGTGGGAGGTGGGCTGAGTTTTAAATGTTTGTGCTATTGCCACAAGGTGGCGCCATTTGAGCTGAAAGAAGCTGAAAGATACAAGCCGGTATCATAGGAAACTGAACTCCAAGTGACTAGAGGGACAAGCATCTTTTTCTTCCTTCCTTTCTTCCTTGGTTCCTTCCTCTCCTTCTCCTTTCTTTTTCTTTCTTTCTGTAGAAAGAACATTATCAGGCCAGTTTGCTAGATATGGAGGTGTTCTGGCAGGTGCTGCAAATGCACCCCCATCAGAAACCGAGGTGAAAAAAAGGCTATGCAGACCAGACACCAACCATGATACCCTATGTTGAGTATCGAAGAGTGCTTGCTGCAAGATAGTAGAAACTTTAAAGCAGCAAGAAAGGAAAACTATGTCCCTGCAGCTGCAGACTCAGATTCTCTGGGTCAGTACTGGCCACAAGCAGGGCAGCTCTCAGGTCATCTGATGGCCAAAGAAACTGCAGCCCTGCCACTCTCCCCACCTGGAACCCCAGAATGTCATAAACATAGGCAAATGAACCTTGCCCTCTCCGCCACCTTCTGGTGATGGTACCAGTCATGTTTTGGGGCTAGGGGGAAGGAGGAGGTCACCTGGCTCTCAGTACTCCTACTCTAACCCTCAGGCTGGTGACTTAGGATCACAGGGAAACTGCAGCAGCACAAGACCCTGCACGGGAACTCTGTGCTGGGTTAATTGTACAGGAGAGCGTCCCTCTACGCTTAGGGGCATGGGGTGAAGCTGGAAGGAAGCAGACATGAAAATGCCTGAATGGCCAGCAGCTGTCAGTCTCTGGGTGGCCTGCCTGCTCACTGGCCAAGCAGGTGTCCTTCCCCAGGGCAGGTTCCTATTGTTTCCAGTGGCCTCCTACTCCATCCTCTATTGGGGTTCTGGGAGAAAGCAGTGAGAGGGCCAGCCTTCTTCTCCAGGGAGAGGGGGTACCATCTGAAACAACACAACCAAGTCCTTTGCTTCCACATGGCAGGCTTGCCCAGGGCATCAGGGGAAGAGGAGAAAGGTGTTAATTTCTTCCCTGTTTATAATTTGCCCAAGAGCAGCAGATGGGTGAAGGGGCTGGAAGTGGGAGGGGAGGAGGGCACCTGAGGCCTGCTTTTGTGACAAGCCTTAAAGCAGGAAGAAGACTGGCGTTTCAGACTTACCAAGGACAGTGGGTCAGGGAAAGAGAGGGAACTCTGTGGAAAGGTGGCTACAGAAAACTGATCATATGTGGAAAGGGTGTGCTCAGAACCAAAGATGGTATAAAATACAAACCATGAAATAGTTTCTCAACCAACCAAAGGCTCCTGAGACTGGTTCTGTCGCCTCTGAGCAATGACTTGAGCCAAGGGCCTTTCCCAGCGGTCACAGCAGCCAAGCCCCATTCCCCTGCTGTTCCAGGGCTGGGTGGGAAGTCAGCAGGGACCATCCCTCTGGGGCCCTGGGAGCAGCAGTCTGGGGTTGGTCCCAGCTCTGCCAGGGTCACCTGTAGGAAGTCCTAGTCTGGGTTTCTTCAAATACGGGATACTACTGGGGCTCCCTGGTGGCACACGGGTTAAAGACTCAGCACTAGCAAGCTATAGGCAGCCACTGCATGGGTTTGATCCCCGGCCAGGGAGCTACCCACATCGTGAAGACCTCTCCTGTCTCACCTGCTGCTCCCCTTAGCAGTATATTTTGGTGGATCTGCCTGCTCTGCTCCCCACCATGTCTCTGGTGAATCCTCTCATACTCTCTCCCTCCACCCCCGCACATCTTTATTTTAAAAATAAATCTTTAAAAACTGTGGGACGCTACTTCCTATCCTGCCTGAATCCTTAAGATTAAAGGCTGGATGGGTGAGGGGTCTCCTGCTTCTATCTCTTACCCTTAGGGTTTGCTAAGTTCTACTGACTGAGTGGGGAAGCCCGGGCATTTCAGAAGAACCAACTCCAGGCGCTTGCCAACTCCCTTTTGGGAAGAAGAAATGCCTGTTCAAATTTTCTGCTCTTATCCATCCATGCAAGGCAGCCCCCAGCCCGTGTGTGCCCCTCAGAAGAAAAACCCATAACCAAGCCCATCAGAATCTGTCCCTCACCCACTCCACCCCTGCCACAAATGCCCAAGAAGCTTGAACATGGGCCAGGCTACCCCCAGCCTCCCTTGCCTCTGCCCACACCAAAGGACTACCCAACCTGACAGCAAACTAACTCACAGGGTCCCTGGACTTGAAAATACGCAGGAGCCTGCAGGGACTGAAAGCAGGGCTGAAAGCCCTCACTAAGTTGGCTTTTGAGCACACCTTGGGCCAAGCAAACTGGGTGCTGAGTTCAAGCTGAGTGACGCTGCATATGCCTGAAGGCCCCAAAACCCCAACCTTGACCTTTCCCTGCTCCCTGCACATTCACTCGGGGACTCAGCTAAGGCAGAGACCCCTCAAGTCTTTACTTCAGGGAAGCCAGGATGTTCCCGCCCCTCTCCTCATTCTCATAGCCCTAAACTCTCTTCTGTAACCTTCCCCAAGGTGCCTCCGGTCCCTCCTGGCCTCTGCCTGGTGCCCCCTGATCTGGACCCTGCCTCCAGTCACCACACTGGCTGCAGGGAGTTTCCAAAGTTCACTCGCTGAGTCACCCCTTCTCAGACCTCTGCACCATCCATGCTGCCCTCAGTCTCCTTCAAGAGGCCACAAGGACCAGACAAGGCTCGGCCACTCTCCCGACACTCACCACCTCAGCCAGCTCTGCCATTTTTGCCTCTGCTGGGCAGACCCCCAGACCCACCTGAGGACACCAAACCCCTGCTGGGTGATGGGCTTCTCCCAACAAGGCTCTGATTCACAAACAGCTTGAGCTAGGGCCCCAGAAGCAAAGGACAGCCGTTGCCAGCCCCCATCCCATTCCCCATCCTGAGTTGACTCCCAGACACTCTAATGCTGACCCCACACTGCCTGGGTGGAGAGTGGGGCACTGCAGCCTCTGCTGGAAAATACAGACCCAGCTCAGAGGCTGAGATTGGACTCACCGAGCTTCCTGGTTTCCCATGGAGTGCTTTCCCCCAGGTCAGCCTGGAGTGTGGGTGTGGGGTGCAGTTGGGCCGGCTCTGCCCTTCCCCCTTCAGCTGGGCCCACCCCTGGTGCACCAGGGTCTCTCCCATGCAGGAATTCTGAACCTAACCCAACCAACACTTCAGTACAGGGAGCCTGGAAACAAGCTGCAGACACGGAGGCTCCCCTTTCATATAAAAATCTTTAATAAAAATAGCTCTCCTAGAACTGGTCATCAACAGGAGTGGCAGACTCAAATTCCTGCCACCTGGGCAGGAGGGAGTCAGGCAGGCCGAGCAGGGCCTTGGAGAACCGCGAGCGGTGCCAGCCCACAGGGACATCACTGGCTGCCTACTGACACGTGGGCTTGGGCTCAGGGATGATGTATCTCCTCAATATTCCAGAGGAGTTACAAATAATTCTTTTTAGAAAAAACTGCATTTTTAAAATGTTGGTCTCTAATTGATCCCCTTCTGCCCTCCCGAGAGAACAGAGCCCTATGAATTAACTAAAGGGCAGTGGGGGTAAAGAACTCCCAGCAGAATTCCAGACCCAAGGAGGATCCCAGCTCAGGCCTAATATCCCAGGAGTTTCTTGGCCTCTTCGCTTTGGGCCTGCAGTGTGGCACTTGCATACTTCCGGAGGAGTTCCATCTTCTTCCTTCGCACAAGCTCCTCCTCGATCTGTGGAAAGCAGGAGTAAGGGGCTCATGTCACTCCTCAGCAAAGTCCTCCAAGCCCTGTGTGGGCAGGCTACGAAGTGAGTCCAACACCCAGAACAGCCCAGGAGGCCCAGTCTCTCCCACGGAAATGTGAACAGCAGATGTGTTCATCCATTTCCTCTAAGATGCGTGAAATCATGTCTTCTTTGGCTGCCCCACATTCCTACTGTGAGCATGACAGGAGCCATGCGTCAGAACAGACTCCCTGGGGGGCAGGAAGGACAAGGAACCCCTACTAAGGCATCTGTGGCCTCTCCCGATAGGCGGGGCGCTTGGCACATGGACGCTCCACCTGCCCCGCATCCAGAGCCTCTCTCATACCTCTTGCTGTGACGGCACTGGGACGTGAGCGATGAACTTCTGCTGCCCATCTTCCCCTCCTTTCTCCTGGCTGCCTTCCTCATCGGACTACAAATAAATGAAATTCCATGAGCAGGAGACTATGGTACCACCAGAAAATGCATACTCAGCAACTGTTTACATGGCAAAAGAGGAGAGAGGTGTGTTCAGCTAAAAAGATGCCCAAGATATTAATGGATCAAGCAGGCAGCGACAGAGCTCTGCAGACTCAGTGCCACCTGCTGGGTGACAAGAAATAACATCAGTGACAGCAGTGAGAACTAGGGGGATGGAGGACAGCACCGAGAAAGAATATATTTTTACTATGTACTTTTGGTTTTTCAACCTTGTATATACATTATCTATTTCATAAAAATTAAATATAAAAAAATTTGTGATTTGTTGAAAAAAGATTACTTCAGAGGTGGCATGTGAGTCAATAGAGATCACTAACAAACTAAGGAAAGAATGGGGGTTTGGACATAGCAGCGAGGCCTGCGGGAGATGGTGGGAGGCTGCTCTTTGCAGTTTCTGTGCCAGATGCCCGGCACCATCCTCTCCCCACACCAGCGTCCAACTGGAGTGGCCAGAGATCCTCGGAGGGAACTTTGCTACAGACCCTGCTGGTAGGAGTGTGAACTGGTCCAAGCACTTTGCAAAACTGTTTGATTGTATCTACTAAAGTTAAACACATGCCTACCCTATGATGTGGTAATTCCACTCCTCAGTGTACACACAACAGAAATGACAGCATGTGGACAAGCAAGCTGACAGCTGCTCTACCTGTTATAGCCTCAAACTGAACACTAAACAAAGACACAAGACCATTGGACAAGAGAATATGCATGAGTCCAAGAATATGTCAAGTCCAGAAATAGGTAAACGGATGGGTTATTAGAGGTCAGGATAGTGACACCCAGAGGAATAGTAGCAAGTGTCTGGGATGCTGGTCATGTTGCTTCTTCACCTAGTATTTGTACATAGGGAGTTCACCTGGTGAAAATTCATTGCTCTGTACACTTACCACATGTTACTTTATATGGAATACTAAGCAGCAGTAAAAAGGAATGAACTCTTGAAATCAACATTCAGATGGCTCTCAAGGGCACTGTGCCAAGGGTAAAGGCCACCTCAAAAGATGATAGACAGTACGATTCTATTTATAAAACACTTTTGAAATGATAAAAGCATACATATGGAGTTTGCTGAGGGTGAGGTGGGAGGGGAGCAAAAGGGAATAGCTCCAGGTAAAGAACGGTTCTGTATCTTGAAACAAATCCACTCAAGTGAGAAGACACAGAACTCTACACACTCATTAAACCAGTGTCAGTTTCCTGATTGCTATTTTCCTACAACTGGGGAAGCTGGGTGGAAGGTACATAGGACCTTTCTATCTTTGCAATTTCTTGCATATCTATTACTGCTTCAAAATAACAAGTTAAAAAAGAAAAACATCTTTTGCTTTCCACTGATTTTATGATAAAGGCAAACCCTCTTCAAGGTGGAGCTGGGGTCCATGCTCATCGTACCACTTCCCCTCACACCCAACAGCCCAAGTCTGTGCTCCAATCACAATGGCCTATCGTCTCTCCCACACACTCCCACCTCTGATGCTGCTCCCCTGCCTGGAATGCTCTCCTCTCACCAACTCCTTTTCACTTGGTTAATTCCGCCCCCATCTTGCTAATTCCCCCTCATCTTGCAGATCTCAGCTGAAGGGTCACCTCCCTAGGAAAGGTCTCCCAGATTCTCCCTGTCCCCTGTCAATATCTCAGAGTTGCTGTTACAGCTGCCATTTTCCACTGCCTCTATCTACAGGCGATCTCCCTACTGGACTACAAGCTACAAGCAGAACTTGTTCACTGCTGTGCCTCTAGCATGGCCTGGCTCACAGTAGGGTGAATTTAAAAACATCTGTTAAAAATGCAAAAGGATACCTGCACTTAGAGGAAAGTTTTCCTAGGGCACAGCACCACCCACTTCAAATGTCTCATTAACCTCGACTGTTTACCAATCAGACCTGAGCATGACCCTCAGGTCTGCTATTTCCTGTGTGACAATAATGAAGTCACCAAACCTCTCTGAGCCAGCTTCCCTTGTCAAGCTCCTCACAGGACCTGACCCATCGTGCATGTGGGAGTGGTTCCCCTCTTATTTTTCAGTTCCACTCTTGACCTGTCCAGGAACAAGGCCTGCACATGCCAGCCCCCACAGAAGAGCTAAGAGCTAGGAGGCACTGCCTGAGAGCCAGGGGTCACACCTCCATGCCCCACCATGACCCTCTGAGTAAATCCCTTCTCTGCTCTAGGTGGGTTTCTATCCTTAGAACGAGGGTGTTAAGACTACAGAGAAGCTACTGGCATTGTCATTTAAAAAGAAACGATGAGGTCATGGGGGGCTAAAATGCATATGCTCTCCAATGTGTTTACAAATCCAATTCCGGTATATTCAGGATGGCCCATCTTTAAGAAGCAAGTAAACCCTGGTATAAAGTTTAGTTTACGAAGTGTTCTCCTTTCTGGAAGTCTCCCTGTGAACCCAGAATGTGATCTTCATATACTTCTCCCAGGGGAGGAGGCTGAGGCTAAGTCTGGAGGGGAGGGACTGAACTGGGCTTTGACTCTGACCCTTGTCTAAGAGCCCAGTTCCTTGTTACCATTCCCCAGGGTTCCCCTGAAGCCCGGGTTTCACAGCTTGGAGCACAAGGCAGTGAGCCCGGGGACCTCGCTGCCCACACGGTACCTCCTCCTCCGTGACAGCATAAATGTTGATCTCTTCCTCCTCTTCTTCCTCCTCTTCCTTTTCTCCTCTTGCCAGCCGGGCCTCTCTCTCTGCTTTCCACTTTTCCGCTAATTCAGCTCTGACTGAAAACAAGGGCAAGCAGGTACTGTTAACTCTGGTTTCTAAACAAGCCTAAACACAAAGAAGACAATGCCAAGATATCCCCTCTGCAGTGGACACCCCTCATCCGACCCTGTGGGTGGGAATTGGACGTGAGGAGCAATGTGGTCTTATAACAGCTCTGGTTCGTGAGGCCTCCCTGGTGGCCTAGGGGTTAAGTCTCAGCACTACCACTGAGACAGCCCTCCCTTGGCAAAGTGGCCTGAGTTCGATCCCCAGCCAGGGAACTAACATGGCACAGCCGACCTTTCCTGCTTCACCTGCTGCTCCTCTTGGGTGGATCTGCCTGTTCTGCTCCCCACTCTGTCTCTGGTGAATCCTCTCACTCCTTGCACCTCTGGCCTATACCCAGTTCTTCTACACAAAAATAAAAATCTTACAATAAAGGAATAATTCCTTAAAGGGAAAAAACAGCTCTGGTTTCAAGTGGCTACAAGCCAGCTTTTTAGGGGACATTCCCAGATCTGCCCCCTCCCATTCACCAAGCTGAGTAGTTTCCTGACATGCCCACATGAAAATGGAAATAGTGGTACAGCAAAGAGCTCTGACTCCTGTCCACCTGCTTCCTAGTTCAATGCCCCACATGGGATTATTAGCACTAACTTATCACAGTGAATGCCCACAAAAGACACAGCAAGGTGCCTTGCAGGGGAAGAGTACTCAGAAAGCAACGCTCACCTTTCTCTGTGCTGAAAACCTGTTAGCTGTGCTTAAAGCAGATACAAAAGCTACTGAAGTGGGTACCATTTTACCATTTGAAGAAAGGCCAGTGTGGGAATGAATCTAGATGGTGAAATCCTGGTGGATAGGGAGGGTGAGCTCCTGATGGATAAGTCAGATGCCGCCTGGTAGCTTCCCCAACCTGCTGCTTCTGACCCAACACAGCCCTGACTGCATCATGGTGATGGGGGTTACCTAAGTGGCGGGGGTCACTTAGGTCATAAGCAAACCATTTCCTGTGAAGACCATCAGCAACAAAGAAAACTCCTTTTTGGCATAAGTAATGTTTAAAAACCCATTTTCAAAGGAGAACGGAAATCAGATGTCATCTAGAATAAAATTACAAAAAAAAAAAGAATGAAATGAACTGCCCATAGACCTACGTTTCTTCTCATATTCCTGTTCCAAAGGCACGATAACACCATCATCTTCATCTAGGTAACCGTAGTATTCAAAATCAATGGCCTTCATGAGCTCAGCGCGTGTCTTTCTTGGAGGAGGAAGAGCTAAAAGAAACAGCACCACCTTAGTTCAATTTCCTGTCACCGTCACACTCAAGTCTCCTTGCACACTGTTACACAGCCAGAGAGAACACACACTAGGAGACACCAGGGGACAGGCACTGCTCTATATGAGTAACAGGGCACACCTTGTTTCACTGTAATATGCTTTTTTTTTTTTTTTAATTTCTAAGGTGTCCTTTATTTCCTATTAAGGAAGGCAATACTATGACATTTTAACCTATAAAAACATACCTGTTTTCTGATTCATATAAAGCAACTTTAAGGCAAACACTATTGAGATGGTCGAAGAAACAAGAATATGGGCTGGGCATTACATGAGACACATAATTATTGCTAATATCATCAGCTATAATAATGACATAGTAGTTATGAAAAAGTATCCTTCATAAAGGCACACTGAAGTATTTATGGGTGAAAAACAATGTCTGAGATATGCTTTAAATACTTCAAAGAAGAAATGGAGGAACAAGACAGAAGAGTTGAAAGAGGAAGACAAAAAGAAAATGAAGAAAAAGATGATGACAAATACAAAGATGACAAATAAAATGAAGATGACAAATGAAGATAAAGGAGAGAAAAACTGTGATACAGAAGAACAGAATTAGCAAAGTGATGAAACTGATGGAAATGTGGGAATTCATTATAATATTCTTTATGCTTACATATATTTTAAATTCCCATAACTGCGTGTGTATGTGCTTGTGCATGTATACTTGCCACCTATGAAAAATTTGTAGTAGAAATCAGGATACAGATTTTTCATTCTCCTCCATAACAAATTTGCTGCTTTGTTTGTTTCAATACAAGAAGTATCCTCTGAGATTGACAGGAGCTTTCTGATCTGTAATTTCAAGATTCCTTTTAGTTTTTGTTCTGTACTCTCTGTGCTCCATTTCTGCCTCATTCTTCTCCAATTTGGTTTTATTTATTTATTTTTAAGATTTATTTATTTATGCATACAAGAACTGGGGTACAGGCCAGAGGTGTGGAGGGTGAGAGGATTCACCAGAAACAGAGGGGAACAGAACAGGCAGATCGACTGAAATACACTGCTGAGGGGAGCAGCGGGCGAGGCGGGAGAGGTCTGCTGCACCATGTGCGTTGCTCCCTGGCTGGGGATTGAACTTATGCTGCAGTGGCTGTAGATAGCTTCATAGGTTGCGTCTTAACCCCTTGTGCCACCAGGGAAGCCCTCCAATTTGGTTTTATTCAATTGATAGCGTATTTCTGCCCTCATCTTTGTAGAATCCATTTCCTGAGAAGCAAGCTAGTTTTGAATTTCCTCTAATTGATTAATAGCGGAAATCTTTTCTCTCAAAGCCTTTTCTACCTGGACCTCCAGTTGGGTGATATCCTGAGACAGGATCAACATCTTTGATCCCATGTCCTCCCTTTCTTTTATGATTTCTTTCTTCATCATCTCTTTCCCAAAGGACCTTTTCTTTTGCTGAGATGCAAGTTCTTTTTTAAGTCGCTCTGTCTGTCTCTCAAGTTCATTCTTCAGCTGCTTATACTGGATTAAAGCCTTGGTTCTTTCAAAATTGGCTTCTTCAGTCATTTGCACAGCTTGTTCACCTGCTACTAAGCACTTGCTTCTCTTTGCACCACATCTGTCAAACCGCTCCTTATGCAAACTAGTGCAGACATTAAGTCATCTCTTTCTTTAGTCAATCTTTCGGTGGTCTGCATGTGAACATTATTATGGGTTTTGGAAATAACAGCTTCATGTTGAGCAAATTTCAAACAAAGACCACCGACAGTTAGAAATAGCAGCAGCAAGAAGAGACTCTTTATGCTTTAGTTGCTCTTTAAGATCTTCACATTTTTTCTGATACTCAGCTAAGTCTTTCCTCAAAAAATTCAACTAAGAATATGGGATTTCATTTCTTTCCTCATAAGTAAGCTATAGCCCCTCTAGTTCTAGCTTCCATTTTTCATCTTGACCACCAGATACAACTTTGATACCTACATTGCCATGGGAAAATGGTCTCTTGGCAGCTTTATCCACCTCAGAATCTTCACCTGTTGTGATCCAAGAATTCTACATGTTTCCAGATGCATCCAGAAGTTTTAGTTCCAACTTCACTGCTTCCTCTTGTCTTTTGAGACTTCAGCTCTTGTTGGAGCCTTTCATTTTGAAGTACAACTACTTGTATCCTATTTTTCATTCCAGAGAGTTCCTCTTTGCAGAAATTAACTTCTGCCTCTAAACAATGAATGTATTGAGACTGGTCATTGATGATTGGAACAAGATTATGTACAGTAGGTATACTGGTTTCCTGGTATTCTGATGACCTTAAAGGAAACTCTTTTTGTCCTCTTGATGGTGATACTTTACTTCCCTTAGTTGCTTGTTGGTGCAACAAAGCTTTGAGTTGATAAACAGCATGGCTGTATTGAAGCTCATGCCAGGCAGTCGCAGTGTCCTCATTTCCTACACTGGTGCTGAAAGAAGGCTCCAGTGTATCTTCTCCAAAAGTGACATCACCGTTTCTCAGGGCACAATTCAGTTGGCGAATGCTTCTATTCGCATGGTCCTAGAAACTCTGTTGATATTGCCCCAGAATCTCCTCTAGGGTAGAATTCTCTGGGGACTTCACTGTTGGGAAGGCCTGCTGCCCTTAAGGGAGCTGGAGTTTTTGGAGAGTACCTGTTTACTCTGCATATGGAGTTCCAGGATGTTAGAAGTTCTGCAAACAACTTCTTTCCAGAATTGACTCCTGTTCTCTGAGGATGTACTGTCTTCTGCATATGTTCCCCACTAACCAGGAAAACTTGTTTTCAGCAGTAACTTATTAATGTATAAGCAAAAACACAATTGAGTGCTATTTTCTTGTTCCTTTGTTCATATCTTCAATAAAAAGCTTGGGCTGGGAGAGTAAAAGGCAGAGCTACTCTCGATGGCTCTCCCCAGCCTCCCCCCATTGCAAATTCATTTCAACTCCGAGTCTTCTTTAACGGCAGAGAACTTCATCGGCTGTCCTGTCCACGGCAGTGGTGCCCAAACAGGGTCATAAACCCTGGAGCCTCAAGGAAGGTGCATGTGGTGTGTTCTCTAGCTAACCTCTATAATCATGGGTCACCACTGACCAAGAAGGGATTATCTAAGGTTGGGTAACAAATGGGGCCGAATTCGACTCATCATCATTGTATAACCCTTTTAAAATGCCTATTAGGGGCCTCCCCGGTGGTGCAGCAGTTGAGCGCTGGGTTGCGAAGCTGCCCGCAGCCTCTGCAGCGCCGGTTCAATCCCCGGCTGCTCCCCGGCCACCGGAGGAGGGTCCCACATGGAGCGCAGACCTCTCCTGCCGCCCCTCAGCAGTGTACTTCGATCCTTCTGCATGCTCTGCTCCCCGCTCTGGCTCTGGTGAATTCTCTCACCTTCCCATGCTTCTGACTGTACCCAGTGCTTGCATAAATAAATAATTAAAATAAATAAATAAACAAATAAACAAATAAAATAAAATAAAATGCCTATTAGAACAGAGTGGAGCCACTGTCTCCACTGGCAGCTTAAATGAACTGTAGATTGGGTCATTCAGATCTCTCCGTCGTTCCCAGATGAAAGTATTTTGGATGCAGAAACTTGGGAATGAATTGATGAAGCTTTAAAAAGGCATCATAAACAAGGTATGAAAATTCCTACTACAGTTTTTTAAACATGTACTTTGGTACAAATGACACTGGAACCCTTCTAGCAAACTTTAAAAAAGGAAATTAGACATATATATGAGGTACCTGATATTTTCAGCCTTCCATATCTTCAGTACCAGTAAATAAAAGGGAAAATTGCCCTAAAAGTAAAAGCCCTAAAAATAAATGGTCCCACAATAATCCTTTTTAAAAGGAATCAGTTGTTGGTTTAACTTCCTTAGCCAAAACTATAAAAGAACAAAAGACAATTTTTGCAGATGATCCAAAAATGGCTTCTGTATTGATGACCTCTCCGGTATAATAAAAAAGCAAAGGGGAGCTGACCACCAGACATATCAACAGGTCACTTCAGCAGCATGCAGAGCCTGACAGAGCTTGCCTCAACCCAGAAACCCAGATTGGCCTTTCTTGCATATATTGCAGGAGCCCAGACAGTTCCCTTGGTAGACCCAGGCAAAAACTTTAATAATAATAATAAAGGACGAGAGTCCGTGGTGTTGTTGGATCAACTGGGAGGCACTGTGTAAATACACAAATGTAGACCCAGTCCTATGAGGGCCAGACTTTACTAAAAGATAAATTTATGCTACAGGCACACCCTGATATCAGAAAAAAAATTACAAAAAGTGGCTGTAGGCCCTCAACAATCATTGAAAAATCTCCTGACTCTTGCCACCCAAGTCTTTTACCACAGGGATCAGGAGGAGGCAAAGGAAAAGACCCAAAAGGCCCATACCAAGGTGGAGGCTCTGGTGGCCACTCTTAAAACCTCAGGGATGGCTTCACGAGAGGAGCAAGGGGCTGTCAGTGTGGCCAAAGAGGGCATTTCCAAAGAGATTGCCCTGGCCAAGAGATTGGCTTCTGGATAGCTGGCAGTTGCCTCTAAGACCATGTCCCGAATGTCAGGGTAATCACTGGAGAAGGGGCTGTCCTCGGTTGCAGAAACTGGGGCCAGTCCGCTCCAAACTCTGACGGGACCTGGAGGCTCTGATCGCCCCTGCCCTCTCAATTTCATCATCAGAACCTAAGGTCCACCTTGAGGTAAAGGGCCATTTAGCAGACTTTCTGCTGGATACTGGGGCCACATACTCTGTCCTCTAATCTTGTTCCTTACCATTAACATCTAATGGGGTGGCAGTTAAGGGGGTAGACAAAAAAATTATTACTAGATATTTTAACCCCCTTTGGGGCACCTCTGGGACTCCTTTTGTTTTTTTGCATGCCTTCCTAGTGATCCCTGAATGCCCAACCCCGCTTCTGGGCCAAGATATATCGGACAAGGTGGGTGCTTCGCTTTATGTTCCCCAGCCAGAACAGCGGGCTGCTCCCTACGCACCCTTATTTTGCCTGTAATTGTAAAAATTGACCCTTCGGTCTGGTCTGATGGGTCACAGGTGGGGAGAACAGTTTCCAGCACTCCCATTAAAACAAGTTATGTTGCTGTCCCGGGTGCCAGGAGGTAAAAAGTTATTTTCAGTCCTGGACCTAAAAAATGTGGGTTTTTTGGTATGCCCTTACATACATATTCATGGTTTCTTTTTGCCTTTGAGGACTCTCCAAAATTCACTTACAACTTGCTTGGCCCCCTCACCATAGTCCTGCCTGCCTTCTCTTTTTTTTTTTTGGCCTGTGTGTTCTAAACCTCTTGGTTTTGTCTCCCACAGGTTAAAACCTTCAGCTTGCAGGTATCTCCAGTCCACTGACTATGTATCGTGCTCCTGGACAGACCCGCTGCCCTGCCTACTCCGCCCCCTTCCAGCAGGAAGTAGCCAGATAGACCCGACGCCCCCTACCCTCGCGGCAACTTGATGTATTGCTCTTTCTGGGGGAACTGAGAAAATCTGAAATCAGGAGACCTTGGGGAACCATAAAGCTAAAACACAGGCCTATGCAAAACTCCATCTAAAAGCTAGGTCTGCTACATGTGTGGGATGACACATATCATACTTTGAAAAAAAAACTGCACTCTTATGAACATTATCTTCCAAAAGAAAATTTTTGATTCTGCCTGTGTACTTAATCCATATGTTTTGTTTTCATAAAATGTTCATGTTAGTTATAATACATCCTATTCCATGTATCATGTTACTTGTAGTGACTATTATCTGTAAAAATGTATTAACTGGACAAATTGGGAATCTAGTCCAAATATCACATTCTTAATACTAAATCAGCTGGTAGCCACCTGGGTTCCAGTTGAACTCCAGGATCTGCATTTATTGCATTCCTACAGGAGTTGCTGCATTACTTAAAACACCGTACCAAAAGATTCATATCGGTTTTGCCAAAACTAAACTAATTACACTTTGCTTTAAAAACAAAAAGGGGGATATGTTGGGAGCCTGCTGCCCGAAAGGGAGCTGGAGTTTTTGGTGAATACCTGTTTACTCTGCATACGGAGTTCCAGGACATTAGAAGTTCTGCAAACAGAACTTCTTTCCAGAATTGACTCCTGTTCTCTGAGGACATACTGGCTTGTGCGCATGTTCCCTACTAACCAGGAAAACTTGTTTTCTGCAGTAACTTATTAATCTGTACAAGCAAAAACACAATTGCATGCTATTTTCTTGTTCCTTTGTTCATATCTTCAATAAAAGCTTGGGCTGGGAGAGTGAAAGGCAGAGCTGCTCTCGATGGCTCTCTCCCCAGCCTCCTCCCATTGCAAATTCATTTAGACTCTGAGTCTTCATTAATGGCAGAGAACTTCATCGGCTGTCCTGTCCACAGCACTTTGCTATGCACAGAATCAGGACCTAGAGATGGAAGTTACGTGGGGAAAGGTCCACTGTTCTCCCCTCAGAGAACCAAAGGCCTTGGAGTCAGCAAAGCGCTTGCCCGCTTCCAGCCGTTGCTGTCTTTAGCGAGCGTTGAACCCAGGCACCAGCTCACAGGGGCTTTTCCCACCCTGTAATTTGCTTCATTGTACTTCACAGTTACTCTGTTTTTTTATAGGTCGCTCCCCAGCAAAAGATTACTACTTGCTAAAAACTCAGATGATGGTTAGCATTTTTTAGCAATAAAGTGTTTTTAAGTTAAGGATTGTGCATTGCTTTCTTAGAGTACTATTACACACTTAACAGACTATAGTATAGTGTAAATATATATTTTACATGCACTGGGAAACAAAAGAGTTCACGTGACTCACTTTATTGCGGTTGCCTGCAGCCCAACCCCCAGTACCTCCTAGGTGTGCTGCTTTAAGTGGACTACCCTCTTTTTAAAATCAGTCTTGCAACTTTTGACCCAATTAGTCCACTTACAAGGAATCTATCTTTAACTGAAAAATAAAAATAACAGCTGGCAAAAAAATCAGAGAAAAGCACCCACATTTTCCTAACTTACAGATGACGAGTGGTGACATGTTGGAGTGTATACCCTTCCAGTTTTAGTGGTTTGGGGAGGAAGGGTACTCCTGAATTGAGGTTATGCTGTATGTGTTACTTTGTGGAATATCTGTATGAACGAACAAGATTCAGTATCTACGTGAGATGTTGTCTAACTCAGGAATTGTCTAATAAAGCCAATTAGATAGATTAAAAAAACAAAAGGTGAGAAAGTCCTGAAGAAAATATTTCCAGGCTAAGGATTACTATTCAGAATATGTACACAATTTTTGAAAATCAAAAGGGAAATGAGAACTCAACCAGATTGGTCAAAGCTCTACAAGAAGATTTTTAAGATTTTAATGAATTTTTCTTATTAATTTAAGAAGAAAAATTTCAAATGTATAAATATTTCAATTATCAATCTCATTAGAAATCAGGGAAATAAAAATAACATCTTTCACCCATCATATCAGTTTGGCTTATAACTGCACTTTATAAACTATGTTTTACACCAGGGATTACTTGCTTCTTAGAGAGAGTATCTTCTGAATATCCTGGAAGCAACTATAGGTCTACCAAGGGGGAGTGGTTAGTCCATACCATGATACTCTAATCCTTCATACCCACTAACAGGCTTCTAATCCAAGTATGGGAGAAAATCAGGGGCTAGCACAACCCAGGCAGGGAAAGTCTTCACCCCACCCTGATGTTAGCAATGGCACCTCCATCCACCCCTCCCTTGACTATTGGTTGATGTCCTATGGTCACCTTTTAGCGGCACTCAGGGTAGGGCACAGGCTGACACCTGGCTGGCTTGGAGTACTGCCTTCCGCCCGGATGGGCCTATTTTAAGGATGGAACTAAGATCTAATCAAAGTCAACCTGACACAGTTCTAGGAATTTTGCTGAACTGCATGGGGAAAACATCTGTTGCTGAAAGAAGACAAAACTTAGGCTGATGAAGGATGACTCGCCATTACAAGTGCAGAGCTGGACAGAGGAAAACTCGCACAAGCAGGCAAATGGAGAAACATAATGGAGAATTATGTAGAAATGCAACTGGGAAGCAGGCATTCCTGAAGGCAAACTTCCCCCGGGCTTGTCAGTTATACAAGCCAATAAATTTGCTTTTCTGCTGAAAGCAAGTTGGGGTTGAGTCATCTGTCACTTATACTGAAGAGATAAGCACAGAAGTGAACAGAAAAAGGCCTAGAGGAGATCATCCCAAACATAATAACAGCTACCAGTTACGATGCCTCCAGCAGGGCCATTGGGATTGGGGAAAAGAGAAGAGTAGGAGGGGGCTGTGCTATTTCAACTATACTCATAAAACTGACTTATGAACTTTCTTGTTAAAGAAAAAAATATACAATTGGAATTTTAAAAATATAAAAAAAACCATAAATGCAAAAAATACTCCACAAAGTAACACACACAGCATAACCTCAATTCAGGAGTACCCTTCCTCCCCACACCACTAAAACTGGAAGGGTATACACCCCAACATGTCACCAATTGTCATCTGTAAGTTAGGAAAATGTGGGTGCTTTTTTCTGATTTTCTGCCTTTTACAACATCTCTGTAAATAAGTTATATTATTTTCATAATGAAAAGCCTAATATTTAAACTGATTTATTTTTAAGCAGTTAATGATACATACAAAACCAGTTTTGGCATAATGAATTTAAAAGTAAGAAGAGCTTAATAAAGATAGAATCACACTGTTAAAAGAAATAGAAAAACTGACTGGAAGGAAACAGCACAGAAGGTCATTCTTCTCTATTTTCACACTTCTTCCATGAAGCATTTAGACTACTATTCTAAAAGGCAAAATTAATATTTACTAAAATTTCAGACAAGCAGGTTCCAATTGCTTTTTGGAAGGCCCCAGGTTTGGCTCAAGATCCCCAGGGACACAAAGGGAACCAGCAAGAGAGGGGTGGTGCCAGCATGGATTCACAGAGCAACTCCATTTTTCTCTGCTTTTACCTTTTAGGGTTAGTTCCAAGGTTTTACTTATTCTTCAGCTAAATTTTTTTCTACCAGTAAGTACCTAAAACATGAACTTGATTCTGTGAACTTTATGGTCTGCCCTGACAAGTTGAGGGAACATCAAAGAGGAAAACTTATTTAGATAGAGACTGGCATGTGCAGAGTATGGAATCTGGCACCAGTTAATTCTGGGTTCACTTACCAGCCCCAATTATGTGTGCTGGGCCTGTCACTTCAAAGCTGGTGCTTAACTGTTCTCATTTAAAGCCTGGGAACAATCATTGTGACACCACAGGATTCCTGTGCAGCTAACAAATCTTGTAGGAAAAGTTCCTAGTGTGGCACCTACTGTTAATTATTACCAACAATTAGAGGTGAAAATATCAGTTACTTACGTTCTTTTTCGAACAGCTCTCTAACACCAGGCAAATCTTTCGCTGCTCCAAAGTACTTGTAACCTCGATTTCCTGGGACTTCCTTCCCTTCATGATCCAGCATTTTAGGGCCAACTTTCTTATTGGGAAGGAAAGAGACAAAATGGATCTGATCCTTCAACTTACTATTTCCATGTTTACAAACATTTTTAAGATAATAATGCTAAATGCAGAAATATGTACACAGAAAAATATCTAGGTACTGTTTAAAAAAAAATCCGTTAAAAACCAGACTAAATACCTAGCAGGAGGATGAATTAAGTAAATTATATCATAGTCAGTGATGGAATATATTCTACACCTTAAAAATGATGCATGTCATGTTGATTTAGAAAAATGTTTATGAAATGGTTGTGACAAAAGCTTAAAAACACAACCACAGGGGCCTCCCTGGAGGCACAAAGGGTTAAGATGCAACTTATGGGGCCTCCCCGGTGGCGCAGCGGTTGAGCGCTGGGTTGCGAAGCTGCCCGCAGCCTCTGCAGCACCGGTTCGATCCCCGGCTGCTCCCCGGCCACCGGAGGAGGGTCCCACATGGCGCGCAGACCTCTCCTGCCGCCCGCTGCTCCCCTCAGCAGTGTACTTCGGTCCTTCTGCCTGCTCTGCTCCCCGCTCTGGCTCTGGTGAATTCTCTCTCACTCTCCCGCGCTTCTGACTGTACCCAGTGCTTGTATAAATAAATAAAAATAAATCTTTAAAAAAAAAAAAAAAAAAAAAAGATGCAACTTATGAAGCTGTCCGCAGTCTCTGAAGCATGAGTTTGATCCCTGGCCGCTGGCTGGCCAGGGAGAAACTCATATGGTACAGCAGACCTTTCCTGTCTCGCCCACTACTCCCCTCAGCAGTGTATTTCAGTCAGTCTGCCTGTTCTGCTCCCTACTGTGTCTCTTGTGAATACTCTCACCCCCTGCACCTCTGGCCTGTACCCCAATTCTTGTGTGCATAAATAAATCTTTAAAAAAATACAATTCAAATAATACAATAAAAGTAAAGTGATAATGTAAATGACTATTTGTTCACATGAAAATATGTTCTTGACACACATTAAGTGAATAAAGTTTATGGGTAGGGTATGAGCCAATTCCTATAAAAACAAACAACATATGTGCTCAGAAAAAATTCCAGAAAGATAAACAGAAAGTTTAGTAGTAGTTATTTGTGAGTGGCAGGAAAATATACCATATATGTCCTATCACGCATAGAACATATGTAAATTTTTAATTTTATAATCTCATATTCTTTTATATTTTGCATAAAAGTATCTATTGTTTATATGCTCAAATTTACCATTTTGAAAAGAAATACAAAATCCAGAACTAAGCACACATAAGGAGCATGATCTTAGAGGCAGCATTCACAGAAAAATGATGGGAGGAAATGCTCAAGCAGTTACACTTAGGTGACAGGTATGTCACTGAATATTGTTCCACTTCTTTATATGCCCTGAATTAGTGAATTACCTTTTTTAAACATTATAGTGAAATACACATAACATAAAAATGACCATCTTCATTATTAAGCATATAGTTCAATGGCATTAAACATAATGTCATGCAACCTCAGCACCATCCTTTCTCCTCTCTTCATCTTGTAAAACTGAAACACTAATATAAATGTATCACTTTTATATACAGAAAATTAAAAGAAAATTCTTAAACTTTAAAAAAAAACTCCAGAAAAAAAAAAATGTAAAAATATTACTGTCCGGGAGGGCCTCCCTGGTGGCGCAGCGGTTGAGCGCTGGGTTGCGAAGCTGCCCGCAGCCTCTGTAGCGCTGGTTCGATCCCCGGCTGCTCCCTGGTCACCGGAAGAGGGTCCCACATGGTGCGCAGACCCCTCCTGCCGCCCGCTGCTCCCCTCAGCAGTGTACTTCGGTCCTTCTGCCTGCTCTGCTCCCCGCTCTGGCTCTGGTGAATTCTCTCACCCTCCCGCACTTCTGACTGTACCCAGTGCTTGTATAAGTAAATAAAAATAAATCTTTAAAAAAAAAAAAATATTACTGTCCACTTTGGGTGGTGGAAAAAAAAAACCTTACATGTTAATTTTGGAATGCTGCTAGATCACTTTTCCAGGAGGGTTAATGAGTGTCTGTATTACTTTAAAGGAGTTTGACAGGAAACAAAAGCACTACCATAGAACTGCTGAAGGGGTTAAGTGAAAAAGTTCCCAGTGCAGTGGCTGGAACAGAACAGGAGCTCGAAAAATGGGAGTGCCTTTTCTTCTGCAAAGAAGAAATGCTTCCATTTTATAGCAGATATTAAAATGGGAATTAGGCTTTGTTTTAGACTTTCATTAAAGGTGAAAGAACCAGTATGTAAAGAAACTGTATATGACATGTCCCATCAAAGTCCACTGTTTAGAAAGCAGTAGATCTCTTCACAAATGTATAAATAAAGCAGGGCCTGGGGCAGTATTATTCAAAGTCCAGACCCATTGTTCAGTGGATGGGAGAATTCAATTAAGTAGATCATAATCATTTTTTTTAATTAATTAATTTATTTATACAAGCACTGGGTGCAGTCAGAAGCGCGGGAGGGTGAGAGAATTCACCAGAGTCAGAGCAGGGAGCAGAGCAGGCAGAAGGACCGAAGTACACTGCTGAGGGGAGCAGCGGGTGGCAGGAGAGGTCTGCGCGCCATGCGGGACCCTCCTCCGGTGGCCGGGGAGCAGCCGGGGATCGAACCTCGAACGGGCGCTGCAGAGGCTACGGGCAGCTTCGCAACCCAGCGCTCAACCGCTGTGCCACCAGGGAGGCCCCATAATCATTATTTTTTTTAAAGCCAAAACAAAACAGAATAGGGAATATCAAAGTGTATCACACATACTGTTTTTTCATTTTTGTGTGTACTATATCATTATATAAAATATGTGTGTGTGTGTGTGTGTGTGTGTGTGTGTGTGTGTTATGATGGGTCATCGTCCTAAAATTTTGAAAGCCTTGGGGCCTCCCTGGTGGCGCAAGGGTTAAGACGCAACTTATGATGCAATCCGCAGCCACTGGGGCACGAGTTGGATTACTGGTCAGCCAGGGAGCAGCCCAAAGTACTTCGGTCAATCTGTCTGTTTTGTTCCCCACTCTGTCTCGGTGAATCCTCTCATCCCCAACACCTCTGGCCTGTACCCCAGCTCTTGTATGCATAAATAAATCAATCTTTAAAAAAAATTTTTTTGAAAGCCACTGTTCTAGAATATTGCATTTATAAGAAAGGAAAGAATAGAGTGTCCTATCAGGTAAAAAAGTCAACGATATTTGACACAATTCCCAAGAAATTTAAAAAAGAATGTGAAGGATTGAATTTTTTTTAAATAAGGGCTTATTCAAGAATACCTGGCTGGTCAAGAGGTGACCTCTCCACCCTGACGCCTATGCTGCGCAGTCTTTAAGCCTTAGCTCAGCCATGCTTTTCATGGGTTTCTGTCCACATACAACAAGCATTTTCCCAGCTTTGTATCATTTCTTGAATGCCTACTATGTGGCAGGCATGGGCTGAGAGCTACAGGGAATACAAGGCTAGATTGGACCTTCCCAGTCTGCCAAAGAGCTCACTAGCTCGCCCTCAAGAGCACTGGGACTGCTGTGTACTTACTCCATAGTCAGGACCACCGAGCTCCTTTATCCGGACCTCCCAGTGTCCTTTCTCTCTTAGCAGTTTGTTAATTTCATCATTCAGGTCACGAATTCGGAATTCACCTAAACCAGCTAGAAAACAAAAATATTCTTATTAATGCTCTTCAAAATAATACTCAATGTCATATCCTTTAAAATGAATGTTGACACCTACAAAGATAAACAACATAAAATAACTCAAGTAAAAGAAAAACCATCAAGGGCCTCCCCAGTGGCGCAGCAGTTGAGCGCTGGGCTGCGAAGCTGCCCACAGCTTCTGCAGTGCCAGTTTGATCCCCGACTGCCGGTGAGGGTCCCACATGGTGCGCAGATCTCTCCTGCTGCACCCGCTGCTCCCCTCAGCAGTGTACTTCGTCAATCTGCCTGTTCTGCTCCCCGCTCTGGCTCTGGTGAATTCTCTCACCCTCCCACACTTCTGACTGTACCCCGTGCTTGTATAAATAAACAAATCTTTTTTAAAAAAAGAAAAAAGAAAAACTATCAAAACCAAATAAGCAGAAGGGCAAGGATTAAGAACCGAGTTTCTGGGCCTCCCCTGGTGGCGCAGGTGGTTGAGCACATTGCTGTGAAGTTGTCTGCAGTCTCTGCAGTGCGGGTTCGATCCCAGCCAGCCGGCGAGAATCCCACATGGCCCGGCAGACCTCTCCTGTCTCACCCACTGCTCCCCTCAGCAGTGTATTTCATCAGTCGGCCTGTTCTGTTCCCCGCTCTGTCTCTGGTGAATCCTCTCACCCCCAACACCTCTGCCTGTACCCCAGGTCTTGTATGCATAAATAAATATTTTTAAAAAATCAAATAAAAGACAGGCTAGGGCCTCCCTGGTAGTACAAGGAGTTAAGAAATTATCGGCAGCCACTGCAGCATGAGTTCGATTCCCGGCCATGAAGGTAACCCACGTGGAGTAACAGACCTTTCCTGTCTTGCCTGCCGCTCCCCTCAGCAGTGTGTTTCAGTCAATCTGCCTGTTTTGCCCCTACTCTGTCTGTGGTGAATCCTCTCATATCCCCCGCATCTCTGGCTTACACCCCAGCTCTTGTATGCATAAATAAAATAAATCTTTTAAAAATGAAGATAAAATAAATAAAATACAGGCTAGCTAGCTTACCATTCTGTATTTGAGCCACCTTTTTAGAGATCTCGCCAATGATCTGTTGGGGAAAAAAAAAGGCAATACATTTTCATGACTTTTGAATATGACTGAAAGCACAGGAAAAAAAATACAAATCAAAATTAGTAATTAAAAATACTTTGAATTCTGGTTTAAGAGTCATTTAGATAAGAAGAAGCAATCAGAAACTTGTTACTTCTACTAAGATCAAATTCCCACAGATTGCACCTGCCGTCTCCATTTCTCAGCTTTGGGTAGCTCAGTACACTCCGAAGCGAGGAAAGGTCTTCGTTCCTGCAAAGAAGGAAAATATGATGTTGCTACTATACACATTACAAGCTTTATGCAGAATTCACAACTGATTTAGGCCTGAAGCCTAAAATGTCTAATGATCTAAATATATTTGACGTTTCAGTTCCACATGATCTTCATCAAGCCTTAATCCTCCCTCTCCCATCTCTCCTTAAGAAACAATTACACTGGCAAAAACATTCACCACAGTAGCACTCCGTCTGCCCATCTGTGACTATGCAGGTGTCTCTTTTTAACAACACTCTCCCTCTGCAGGGCAGCAGCCTCCTGCCTGCCCATGACCTGTACTGCTGGGACTTCTCTTCACTGACCTCCCTCAGCGGAGACCGCTCTCCTCAAGGCCGCCCTCTTGCAACCATGCAGGCCTCTCTTAGCAAACCTGTCCCTTCTGGGGCAGCTCTTTCTGCCCACTTGTGTCTATGCAAGTATCTTTTACTGTCCTTTTGTAATAAACCTGCTCTTTAAATATAAAAAAAAATTCACCACATTGTATCTAGTACAACGAGCACTCAGAAATAACTTAAACGTACAATAAAAAATGGTAAACTAGGTTATACCATTTCGTGGCATATATATACAACCTCAAGAAATGATGGTTATTGGTATTTAGAACAAATACACATGCATATACATATGTGTGCATGCAAATGTGTACATAAAAGTGCATATTTTTGCATAAATATATATGCAAAAAAGGTACATATATCCCTAATATGGCTGTTTCCCATTATTCAATATTAGATAGAGCTGGGATAATAAGGGGACCCAACCATCACATACAGAGAAGCAGCCAGATCATCACACTGCTCTAGCTACAAGGAGATACATCTGGAATACGAGTGTATACTCTTTTAAAGGCCTTCAGCAAGTACAGAAAAGAAATAGGAAGGTAGAGAATTTGAAATCAGCCCAGGAAGTTTTACTGCCTTTATAACTCATGAGGCAGATTTTCACCACCAACCTTCACTTTTCCTTCTTCCAGTTGAGCTTGACGAAATCTTGCTAAGGCCGTCCTACCAGAAAGAGAGAAGAGTCCATTAGATCCTGCTCACAGATTTTTTTTTTTAAAGATTTTATTTATTTATATATAAAAGAACTGGGTGTAGGCCAGAGGTACAGGGGGTGAGAGGATTCACCAGAGACAGAGTAGGGAGCAGAACAGCTGGATCTACTAAAATACACTGCTGAGGGAAGCAGCGGATAAGACAGGAGAGGTCTGCTGTGCCATGTGGGTTAGTACCCTGGCTGGGGATCAAACTTGAGGCACAGCGGTGCTAGCACGATAGTGCTAAGACTTAATCCCTATGCCACCAGGGAGTCCCTGCTCATAGATTTCTTATATCTCAAGTTCCTGAATGGGGCAAATCTGCTCATGAGCATAATTAAGTGATGTGTTTTAAGAAACCAGAGAAGTTAAGGATATTTATGTTCCAAGGAACATTATAAGACCATATGTGTACCTGGACACCCAACTACCCATTTTAGTTACACTGCATGTAAGGACTCTGGGAACTAATCAGACCAAGGTGATGAGCAACATGCCCAGATGCCAAGAGACTAGTATCTGTTCCCCAGCTGTCACTCTCACAGCTGGTAAAGAAACAAACAGGCTCAGGTAAACAAACATTCATCCAATACAAGTTCTGGGAATGGTCAGAAAAAACTAATGGGGTAAACAAATGGGCAAATATGGGCTACTTCTCAAAGGCTCATATACCAAAAGTACCAGAAACTAAAAGAGCTCCAGAGTGATAATTAAGTCACATAAAATTGGCCAAAACTAAATTGATACTTACATGGCTTTTTCCGCATTTCGGGCCTAAAAGGAAAGAGAAGGGAAGAAAAATGCCCATGTTTAAATTAATTTTATTTTTAATTTACATTTTTAGTAAAAAGTTTTACAAATTTTATAAGGATAGTCACAGCAAAATGCTAGAACTAGTATATGAACAACAGCAACAATGAAAAATCAAAAGATGACCAAATCCCATGGCTCTATATAAAATCTTTACTCCACTCTCCCCACCCTCTAAGAAATGGCTAACTCCAATTTATCACTCAAAATTTACCTGTGATATTCATCCCCAAAGATCTTCTGTGACCCTTTCTTTCCTGCCTGGCTGCTACTCTGGTTTATACCCATCCTGGTACTTTCTGTCCACCATCAGAACTGTCTGTTTCCTTCCAGTGGTATTTGGGAAAGAAAGGTCTCAAGACTGACTTTTACAAAGTGAGTTTTATTAAGAACTGTCACACTAGCGTCAAGTCAATAACCCCTGAAATAGCATCAGGCAGGGAACATGTTTTCTGGGTTGTAGTGTAAGTCAGGAAAGCACCTGCTGAGTGGGGTCTTGACTTTTACTCCCAGCTCTTCCATTTACTATCCCTGAGAAGTAGTCTAAGGCTCACTCTCCATCTTTACAACAGGGATCAACTCTCTTTTCTGATAGAGATGTCATGGTGATTTAATGAGTTGAATACAGGAAGACATTACCTAAGAGTTTACAGATGCTCAGCAAAATGAATTCAATTTAAATCGCCTTTCTTACCCTCCAATGCACACAGGAAAAACTTGGCTAAAGCTTGGTGGGTAAAAGAACACAACATCAACTAATGAATAAAATAAAAAGATTCTTCCAGGGGAAGCTAAGGTTGTGTGTTCTACCTATTTCATTATAGCCACAAATTCCAAATATTTAATTCAGTATTTCTCAATGCTTAAAACAGCATGGTAGGCACTAGAAATCCGGTCATAGTTCTTCCTTTTAAGGGAACACATAAGAATTCCCTCCATAATTATGAATCAGTGTGATAAGGACAGGTATCCAGGATGATGGAAGGCCACAAATATGACTGTGGACGGAGACAGTTACATAGGATACCCAACAACTCCTGTAATCAGAAATATCAAAGTCCAGGGATTCTTCTCCCCTGACAAGGAATAAAGAGATGAGATTCCCTATGCTTGTCAGGGGAAAAAAAAAAAAAATCAGGCTGAGCGGGGCAGGATGAAGCAATAATTTGGGGCACATCAACCTACACCACGGGTCCATCTAGCCCACTGGTTTCCCTTGTTTTGGGGATCTTGTGCTCATCAGTCAGGTTTCCACTATAACTATAATCTTACTATGGCGTCGTATGCTTCTCTTGGGGCTTTTCACTTGATGAAAATATTATAGTAACCAATATGTATATGCTTATTCTTTTTACCAGCACTATGTGAATGCCCATATTCATATGCCGTGAGCACTTCGAAGGTACAAAGAAGCCAAAGAGCCAGACCAGGCCACAGTGATCACACCCTCGAGCGACACCACGACATTTATTCATCTGCTATGAACCATCTACAACGTGCCAGACACGGTGAGACATTAGGAACCAATGGTTTAAACAAAACAAACCAATCCCTACCCTCGGCAAGTTTATGTCTTGAGGGGGAGCCCGAGATCAGATATAAATAACCCCAGAAACATACGGTCACAACCGCTGTTCATCTCCCCTATAGGACTTGGGGGACAAACTGGCCCGCGCTAGGCACGATGATCGGCGGCAGTCCTTGCTCCTGTTTCCCCGTCAGTAATTTAAAGTGCTTCGTGGAGACCTAAAACACTGCCCCAGGTGGTAACGCGGTTTTCGAGGTTCCAGTTTTCCCCTGCAGGGCCTGACAACTACAGCGAGACAGGAAGAGCCCCCCAAGCGGCAGCCAAGGCACCCGAAGCCCGCAGGGCTGCCGAGCTGAGCCCCTACACCACAGGGCCCTGGACGGGGCCCGCAACCCTCTCGACGTTCCCGCTCGCCCCCTCCCTCCCTTCCCACCCCACTCACCATGGCGCAAGCGAGGGCGCCGCCCTCCGGCCTCGCGGCCCCTGCCCACGAAGAAGCTTCTCCGCCTCAAGCGAGGCTGACCCCGACAGGAACTGAAGACTCTCACTGACCGTAACGCCGATTTTCCTGTCGGAAGACTATAAGGAAAGGACCGGAAATGAACATGTGACAGGACAAGGGGGAAGAGCAGGAAATGCACGCGAGCTCCCGACGGTGCCTTCCGGTGGTGACCGGATGACGCATCAACGCGCGCGAACGAAGAATGAGGGCATTGGAAGATTGCGCTTGCGTGGAGGAAGTGACCGCCCTCTCAGCGCAGCCCGGGGGCCTGGCCTTGCTCTCGCGATAACTAGTGGCACTGCGGAAGCGAGGTTTCTCTCTCCATGGGCGGTGCCGCGGCCGCGGGCACGCGGGCTGCGTTTCTTAGGCTGCGCGGGTGGGCGGTCGTTGCTCTAGATGCTCGACCCGTCGGCCCTTTTTGGGATCTTCTGTGAGAGCGAACATGTCCTCGTGGAAGTTACTCGTACTCATCCCTCTTGAATAAACTGAGTCCTTAAAATCGACTGGGGCAGCCGGACAAAAACCTGCCTGCGTGGACGAGGCTGGGCAGCGCCCGACGTGGACGCCGCAGCCTCCCGCTGGCGGGGCCGGAGCGGCGCCCTGGGCTGATCGGAGCGAGACTGTTCCCCGGAAGCTGGAGCTGTCCCGGCTTCCTAAACAACTCCGCATTTCGCCGCAATTTGCCAGGCTTTGCTTTTTCTGAGATTTCTCTCGCCTTGAAATTGCGGTGTTTATCAGCGCTGCACCTCTTTGGGGGGGGGGGGGGGTCACTTACTTGGAGGAAGGTCCAGGGGAGAAGCCACTTACTTGGAGGAAGTTGGCTGGAAAGGTGATGGGTATCACTGCCCAGACAAATGCTGTCAACCAGTATGATGGGTTCATTACTAGGGTCATTACTTATTTTTTAAAAAAGATTTATTTAGGATTCGCCAGAGACAGAGTAGGGGGCAGAACAGGCGGATTGACTGAAATACACTGCTGAGGGAGCAGCAGGCTAGCCAGGGGAGGTCTGCTGCGCCACGTGGGCCACCGCCCTGGCCAGGGACCCAACTCCTGCAGCAGCTGCTGCGGATTGCTTCATAGTGCTGATGTAAGCTTAACCCCTTCCCTTCCGCCACCTGGGAGACCCCTCATTAGATACTTAGACAAGGAGCACAGACCTGTATTTGGGGGTGGGGATGGGGAAGTCCCTGGTAGGCATGATGCTGGTGGCTACTCCCACATGGTGTCAGCAATTGAGTCAGTTGCAGTATGGAATTCTGGTAGCAATTCAGCCAGAATCCCTGGCTGAATTTTTCCATGGTGCTTCGGCCTGGTGACTTCCTCTACCACACGTTGGGCACTTTAACTGCCAGTGGGGATAAACCACGGAGGGAAGCAGCTGACACACAGTTCAGGATCGGACAAACGGTAACATAAAATAGACACCAGGATCTCAGCCTGAACGGTGACAAAGACAGTCTTTCTCTCCCTAAAAGATCTAGGTGGTCAATGGAAATTGAACCGGAGGAATATATGCCCCTTAGGTGGTGTTCGTGAAGTTTTCCGTTTTCCCTTCTCTGCTGAGAGGTGATCATGGGAACAGCCAACTTAACTCAGGAACCTTAGTATGGTGAGGATACCAGTGTTCCTCCCAGCACTATAGAATCAGAAATTATGTCTTGAAGCTGCTGCATTTGGGGGTCATTTATTAAAGCAGCAAGGTAACCTTTCCTTTAAATAATAACTGGTGCCACAAAAGTAGGGTTATTCCTCATGCAAATGAAACTTTCTCACTCCTAACCTTATCCATGAAATCCCTGACTCCCAGATGCAGAAATCACATATAACAGGAGTCAAGAAGCATTCTGGGGAAGGTAACTGCATGCTCAGCTTTAAGTTTGGAACAGGTGAGCTTGGTTAACTTCCCTCCCATCTGGTGGGCTTAAGACAAGCCAACCTAGTCAGAGTGGCTAACTGTGCCCTAAAGCAGCACTATATATAATTAACTTGGATATTTATCTAAGGAGATTTTCTGGGTCTTGATGCTTATAGTAAATTGCAAGATGAGAGAGAGAAATCAAGGAAGGAACTGTTAAATGGAACTGGACTTGATTACTTGCGAAATCAGCCTGTTCATTTTGCAAAAGATCCTAAAATCAGGGCCTCCCCAGTGGCGCAGCGGTTGAGCGCTGGGTTGCGAAGCTGCCCGCAGCCTCTGCAGTGCTGGTTCAATCCCCGGCTACTCCCCGGCCACCGGAGGAGGGTCCCACATTGCGCGCAGACCTCTCCTGCCGCCCACTGCTCCCCTCAGCAGTGTACTTCGGTTCTGCTCCCTGCTCTGGCTCTGGTGAACTCTCTCACCCTCCCGCGCTTCTGACTGTACCCAGTGCTTGTATAAATAAATCTTTTTTTTAAAAAAATCCTAAAATCAAATTCACCATCAAGGGACCAGTGCTGTGCAAAATGACAAGTGGTAGGCCTCCCCTGGTGGCTCAGTGGTTGAGCGCTGGACTGCGAAGCTGCCCACGGCCTCCGGAGCGCCAGTTCTATCCCCAGCCACCTGCGAGGGTCCCACATGGCGCGCAGACCTCTCCTGCCGTACCTGCTGCTCCCCTCAGCAGTGTATTTCGTCAGTCTGCCTGTTGTGTTCCCCACTCTGGCTCTGGTGAATCCTCTCACCCTCCTGCGCCTCTGGTCTGTACCCTGGTTCTTGTATAAATAAATCAATCTTAAAAAAGCAAAACAAAATGACAAGTGGTAATACATGGAAACATTTTTTTTTCATTTCACTCCACCTTAACTTTTCCCAGACCTGAAAAACATCCTTCCAAATCATACAGAATAGCAATGTTACACTCTTAAGTGGTGGGGGAAAACCTGTAGCTATTTTTATTCAAACACTTCCTACAGAGCCACCAATTCTTTGCATGTCACCTTTCAGTATGTTTGGTAAGCCTGAAATAGGTTGCGACAGTTTCACTACATCTAAAAAAATTAAATAGCTTTCATAAGGGTGCTCATAAAATACAAAAATATCTGCTAAGGCAAGTCAATGCAGAATAAAAAGCAACAAGTAAAACAATATTTTTCTTTCCAAGCCATCTTTTGGTTGACCTGATTCAGAAACTGAGCTAATGAAGCAAATTTTGCAGAAGTGCATAAATCTGGCTGCTAGCATATCTAATTCCAAAAATTGGCAGCAAAACCAATGGAGTGTTGGGCCTCCCCGGTGGCGCAGTAGTTGAGTGCTGGGTTGCAAAGCTGCCCGCAGCCTCTGCAGCGCCGGTTCGATCCCCGGCTGCTCCCCAGCCACCGGAGGAGGGTCCCACATGGCGCGCAGACCTCTCCTGCCGCCCGCTGCTCCCCTCAGCAGTGTACTTGGGTCCTTCTGCCTGTTCTACTCCCCGCCCTGTCTCTGACTGTACCCAGTGCTTGTATAAATAAATCAATCTTTAAAAAAAAATAAAAAAAAGACAAGTCAATAAACTGGACCTCATAAAAATTTAAAACTTTAAAAAAAAAAAACAAAAACCAATGGAGTGTGTAAATTGTCATTCCCAGAATCAACAAAGTTTTGAAAGTGAACACCAAGTAGGTTCTTGCTTCTGCTGTCAGGTAGTGTTTAAGATTAAAAAACAAACCAAACCCTGTCTCCACCATTTTACTTCATTTTCCTAAAAAAAAAGGGCCTGGAAATCCAAATCAGGCTTCTGCCATCTGTTCAGGTTTAATGTGTGGAACTTCCGACCCCAAATATTAGTTTAATAAGCAAATGATGCCAGCTTAGAGAAATAAGTGCGAATTCCTTAATATTAGGGTAGTGTCATTTGCAAAAAGGTTGACTTTTCAAAATTAAAAATACTACCTGCAAGCAATGAATGAAATGCCCAGTTTTCTAAACTAGGTAAGCCCTAAATCAGGCAGAACTATCTTCTGGCCTTGAACCATTCATCCAGGTCTAACCAAAAATTGACAAGACTCCTTACCTCCTCAGTGCTATATGCATCAAGCATTAAGTACTAACAAATATCATTAGTTCACATACCTAAGGACTGACTTTGAAGCTAAATTCACAAAGTAGAATTATAGTAGGTAGACAAGAGTTTCCCATTCTTCTTTTGGGGAAATAATTCCCCTGCTTCATTCCACATGAATCCACTTTTTAGTGGAGGCCCCATGTTGACAACCTTGCTCCAGTGACAGTACATTACTAGGGACACAAGAGGGCAGGCTAACTATAAATAATCCTTTTTTAACTGATACTTCCTCAAGGCAGGCAAAGAGACATGAAATGTGATGCTATGAAAAAATCCTTAATAAGTCATTGAGTTTACTTCTATCTGCCATCAATTTAATGATATTTTTGCCTAAGCTTTTTCACTTAGCAATGTTCTGACACTGCAGAGCTTTCAGTTCTATACTCCGGTTTGTGGATCATAATGCAAAGTATCTTTCAATGCTGAAATCAAAGAACCACCATGGCAGGAAGAAAAAGACCCATTAAGAATCAACAACAACAACAAAAAGTCAACACCAAAAAACCACAATGATTATTATCTAGGTCTCAAGGCTGTTTAGGAAAGTTATGTTCTTTAAGTGTAAAAACTCCAAGTTTGTCATTTTTAGTAAGAAGCCACTACCACAGCCTTCCCGAAAAGTCTGAGCTACCTATGGGGACATGTTTAATATCACAGCTTGCTATCAGGGCATTTAGTAGATTACAGACAGCAGTTCACAGCATTTTGTCAAGGTTTACAGTGGAGTTGAAAGTAAATATGAAGCAGTTATGTTTAATGAAATGTCCTCTCAACTCTAAGATAAGCAAAAAGGGACAATTACACGTAAAACCCCTGTAATAGTACAACCAGTGAAGTTCTCAGTTCCCAACTCTCAGCTCTCTCACTAGGGTTGTCCTGGTAGTTACCCCATACTTTTCAGTGTCACCTTAGAATCACCTAGAACCTTATGAAAATATTGATGTTTAAGACCCTGCACCAACAATTCAATTATCTATTTCTTTACTAGGATAAAAGTTCCTAGCATTTGGTTTCACAAGTTAAGTTAGGACCTATGCTTTAATACTGCCTTAGCAAAGCAAGCACTAAA